GGGGGGGGCAGCCCCCAGAGGCTGACCCAGAGCGCAGAGCAAGCTCTGGGGGGCCCCATGGCCAGCAAGGACCTATCTCCCAGGGGAGACCGCAGCAGCGGGTGCTCCCGTGAAAAAGCAATGGGGTTACAGGCTGGGGGTCGTCACGGTGTGTGCAGAGCTGGGGGGCAGGGGTGGCATGGAGCAGAGGCATGAGTCACAGGGACCGTCATCCCAGGGGACAGGGCGTCTCCTAAGGCAGCCTGGACCCCACGGGGCTGGACAGTGGTCTTGCAGTCCACAGGCCTCCAAATCCCCAAGGCAGAACCTTAAAAACTGGGTATGAGCCTTCCCTCCCACGTGGGATTTCTCACTCAGCAGGGTGGGAGGGACCCAGGCACTAGGGACTTTCCTCAAGCCACCCAGGTGAGGCTGAGTGAGGCTTCCAGCAGCCCCTGGACGACGGGGGGGACTAGAGGGACACGGAGCCCGGAGGTGGGTGGCCTGCAGGCCCCCAGGACACGGGCCAGGTAGCCGTTGCAGGCATCCAAGCCTCAGAGAGCGGTCCCCTCTGGGTGACCCAGGGGACCTAGGTGGGAAGCCCTGCCTGTCTGGGGTCCTGCAGCCCCAGCCATACCGCTTCCCAGCCCTGAACCCCGGGGCCTGGGCTCCCTCAAACTGCTGAGCGGGGAGAAGCAACAGCACCTACCTCTCGGGAAGCTAGGCCTTCGTGGGATCATGCAGACACAGCACTTGGCCCGGTGCCTGGCACCCAGCAAGTGCTCAGTAAATAGCAGCAAATGACGGCGACTGGGAGGCTGGAGTGGGGAGAACAGCCTGGAAAACCACCTATCATGGGCCTCTGCCAGCCAGAACCCGGGGGCCTGCCGCTGCCCCTGCGCCCCCACCCACACCGCTCGGCCCGGGTCCGCGCTGCTCCTTCGGGGACTTCCGGGCGGGCGGCAGGCCGGCCGGCCCGAGAGGGCAGCTGGAGGGCAGGCCCGCGGAGGCCCCAGCTCCCGGCCTGCACCCCGCCCCGCCCGCACCCCCACAGACTCCGCTTCAGTGGGAACCGGCCTCGAGCCAAATAAGCTCTGAATTCCTAAAATAACACAGTAATTAGGTATATAAATAATTTCTATTGTTTCCACTTTATTTTTAGAAAAAAAAAGTGAAAACAAGTGAGGAATTTCCATTCCAACAGGGAAATTTCCATTTGGGGGACCCCATGAACCTCCCGTGGAGTGGGCAAGCCCCGGGCCGCCCTGTGGGCCCCCTTCGAGACCGCAGGGGGCGCTGCTCCGCCCTTCCACCTGGCCCGCTTCCCGCCACCCGCAGCCTCACTGTCCCCTTCCGGGAGATGGGGACAAGCAGGGTCCATGTGACCGCCCCACCATCGCCTGAGGCTGCCCTCTGGAGGGCCAGGCTCCTCCACCGGGGGGAGGGGAAGAACGGGCCGGGCGGCCGGAAGAGCAGGGCCGCTCCCTGGGGCTGACAATCGTTCACCCGCTCCCTTGGGCTCCCGCAGGTCTGCGGCGCTCAGGCCAGTGGGACCCCCCACCCCCGGGGGTGAGGACGCAGGGACGGTGCTCTGCAGGCCCACAGCCAGGAGACCAGGGTGCACACCGGCCTCCCTACGTAAGCGACGCTCAAGCTTAGACGTAAAGGACGGGTCCACAGCAGCCGGACATGGTGCCTCGAGGTCCCCAGCTGCAGCGGGCATTGCCGTGGCCCTCTCGCCACGGGGTGCTATGGAGATGCAACAACTGTCAGCTGCTGAGGTTTTCCTGGGCGGGCCCATGAGAGGGGCTGTAAGGCCGGGAGAAGGGTCTGCGTGATTTGGGGTAGGTGGCCAGCATCATGAAGGAGGCTGTCACCGGGCGACAGAGTTTCAGGGCGCAGAGGCGGGTGGGAGGAACATTCAGGCCGAGGGAACAGCAAAAGCAAAGGAACGGAATTTGAGGCTTGAGCTCTCTTTGGATCCCATCTCAGAGCGCTCTTATGTGAACCTCTGGGACCCAGAAAGGCCGCTCTGTGCCGAGCCCCGAGGCCAGGCCAAGGTCAAGGGGAGAGAGACCCTGGGAGAAGGGCCTCAAGCAAGAGAGTGAGGCAGGGCCAGAAGTGTGGAGCCCCAAGAAAGGAAGACACCAGCCCTCCAGTCCCCCCGCTGCCGGTCCCACTGAGGGCGTTTACTCAGGGCGGCCTCTGGCCCTGTCCGCAGCCCAGGTCACGCCTGCCCCCGCAGGCCAGGCCCCCTTCCGGACAGTGTGGCCGGGCGGCTCCCCAGATGCAGCCGGCCGACAGTCTCCCTGTCTCCAGGGCCTTTCCTTCTTGTCCGACCATCCCTTACGAGCCCCCCACGACACGCCTGGGTGCCGAAGCTGTCGTGTACCTGCTTCCATTGGGGGATCGTTTAGCTGTTGGCAATTTGAAATGGGCCCCGCTGGGAAGGTTTACACCACAGGAATGGGCCGACAGTGCTCATCGGAGAGCCAGATGCCGGCATGCCACGGCCCTCTGGCCAAGCGTGCACACAGAGAGGCAGGCCCCTGCCCGTGGGGACCCCCAGATGGAAGAGGACAGACAACAGGGACTCGGAATGCACCGGGGCAGGCCGTGTCGTCTCCGAGGGGGCAGGGGTGGGGACAGGGAGACCCGTTCTGCAAGGAGGGTGGTGAACCCTCACCAGAAACCGAACGAAAAAACCAGACCGTTGAAACGAACGGCGAGCGTGCGCACCGTCCCACGTTGGGAACCGAAGTGCAGCCCGGAGTCCCCTAGCCAGAAGTGGCGGGGCTGGGCCTGGAACCTGGGCCACCGGATGCGGGAGCCCTGCTTTCCACCCCGGGGTGCGGCGACCGCTTCTCCTTCCTCCCCGAGGCTCAGCGCTGGGGAACCCTTGGGTGTCCCGTGGTATCTGCCGCCCAGCTAGATTCTAACCTCCCGAGCTCGGGGCCTGCGTCCTCCCCACCTGGCTGCCTGGCACAGCGCCCCTCACGGGAGGGCACTGTGTTTGCTGACCTGCATGTCTGAAGAAACTTCTGGAAAACAGCCCTGGTCTGCATGTGGTGGATTAGAGCTGGCTGGGCCAGGGGTGCACCGTGCAGTACGGGGAACAAGGAGGCTCTGGCCTTGGGGTGCATGGCAGGGTCCCCCGAATGACAGGGCTTGGGCCAGAGGTGGTGGGGGCCCAGAGGGGCAAGGAGAGGATGTCTCTGAGGACAACCAGGACCCCAGCCATTCTTGCTTCTCTCCTCTCCTCCTCCAAGGAGGACAGGGCCGCTCGGGCCCTCCCCCCGCCCCCAAGCCTCTGGCTCCCTCCCAGTCACATCCAGCCCGCACATGATCCTCACCACCACCCTGTGATGTGAGCCCGGCCTGCCAGCTGGCATCGATGTCCCCGTTTTACAGGTAAAAATACCAACGCAGCAGCCAGTGCCTCTCAGGTGCCAGCCACCCCGCGCACACTGTCTTTCCACGCAGTCTTCTCCACACCAGTGGGGAGGCTCTCCCACTGGACAGCTGTGGACACTGAGGCTCAGGATGCCGACTGCTGGTGGTGGCCCAACTACACCAGAAAAGGGACCCCAGTGTGGGTGAAGCAGCCCTGACCACAGCGGGAGCACGGGGCGTGCCCTCGGGAGGACAGAGTGCCAGCTCATGAGGGGTGTGGCCCCCCACCTCCTCCCCGCCCGCCTTCCCTCCCTCCCTGGGGCCCAGGCTCCCTCCCCTCTCTTCACCTGGCTTCTCACTTGGGCCACTTGCGGTGCCTGGCAACCCCCCACCTCCATCGCTCAACACAGGCCGGGCACTGGCATCTCTAAGCTTTTGCTCATACCATTCTCTCGGCCAAATGCCCTTCCCACGTTTTCCACCAAATGAACAAACTCTTCCTGCTCCCAGTTATGACCTCGGCCGGCAAGTTCTCTCCCCCCTTGGACGCCGCACCTCTCCCCCCAGCATTTGGGAGCACTGATGACTCCACAGAATGGCCAGCTCCCAGGTGGGATGCGGGGTAGATTGTCTTGCTCTTCCCTCCATCCTTAGGTTTGGCCCCATGCCCAGATCTTTAGTAACTGCCCCGGGGAGGGGACACACCAGTGGCCATAACTCCCCCATCAAGGCAGATCCTAAGCGATGTCCCAGGAGAGAGGAGTGCTCTGGGGACTGGGAGAGTGCCAGTTCTGGGGGGCCATGCAGGGGTCTCGCTGGGGTCCTGTGCCTGCCCACACCCTTTCTGGGACATCTTGCGGGGCTAAGGGAGTCCCTGGACCTCAGGCCACCCAAGCTGGCTGAGACCCATCTCTGCTTCCCTTGGAACCAGAGCTCAGGCACCCCCTTACCCCGCCATTCACCCAGAGTCGCTCCCCTCCCCAACCCAGGTTCCAGAACTCTCAGATATTTATAGCACCCTCCCCCAGCCAGGTTCCCTCCCCTGCCCCCGGCAGTGCCGTTGCGGTTCTCTTCCCATTCCCCTCTGCTCGGTCCCCAACGGCAGCCACAGTCCAGCCCCCGCCCAGCACCCCGACTGCGTGCGCCTGGGCCTCTAACGCCGCCGCCGCAGCCCCAGGTCGAGGGTGGGGGGGTGGGGAAGGGGAAGGCGGGCGCTAAGGCCTCCCACTCCCCGCCCCGCGCCGGAGGTTTGTTGGGGCGCAGGGCACAAAGCACTGCTCAAGCCGGGTGCCTCTGGGACGCCCCCCGCCGGGGCCGGGAAAAGAAAGGTCGAAAGGATGAGGCTCTGCCCTCCGGGGCCAGGGAAAGCTCCACTGAGCGGCCGGTTGGGGGAGGGGGCGCCAGAGCCCCAGCATCCCGCCCCTATCTCAGCGCCACCCCACCAAGCCCCCCAGCCTAATGCTCTCGCCCCGGGCCCCCAGAGGTCACGCTCGGGGAGGGGGCGTTGGGAGCCATGACTGGGGACGCCGCAAGCAAGCAGGAGGCGGCGGGGAGATGGAAGCGGAGGGCCGGGAGTGCGGGATGTAGGGGCTGCGGCGCGGGCCCCCAGAACGCCAGGGTCAACTCACCCATCGCCTGCTGGGTCTCAGCAGCAGCGGCGGCGGCGGCTCCGCGGCCCCCGGGGCCCCCGGCGGGGAGATGCTGGCGTCCGCCGCAGCCTCTCGCCCCATCCCGGGCTCCGGCGGCGGCGGCTGCGGCGGGCGCCCGGCATCGCAGGCAGCGCGGCCCCAGCCCGGCCCGGATCCCCGCCCCTTGCCCCCACCTCCACCCTGTCCCGCGGTCCCCGCGCGGCCGCCTGGCTGCAACCCGGGGCCGCGGCGGGGACCCGGCGAGCGGACGGTGCGGGGGAGGGCTCCGCGGGAGGCGCGCTGGGGGTGCTGAGGCGAGGCCCGAGCGCGGCGCGCAGAGGTGCCCGCTCCCGCCGGGTTCCGGCGGCTCCGGTCCCCGCCCCGCCCCCACCGCGCCCCCTCCCCTCCACAGCCGGCGGGGCTCTGTTCGCCGCGCCGGCCCGGGGGCGTCTCGGAGGAGTCTCGGCGGCCGCTGCTCCGCGCCTCCCGCGTGTGCGATCAGATGTGTGTGTGTGTGTGTGTGTGTGTGTGTGTACGCGCGCGCCCCTGCCTGTGACCGTGCGTGCGCCGGCCCACGGCCCGGTGCGTCCTGTGCGGTGGTGTGTGTGCGATGGGAGGCGGGGCGGGTCAGGGAGTGTGCGCGTCCGGCGTGTGCTCGGGTCTGCGTGTCCGTGGATGTGTGCATCTGTGTTTTACAGTGTGCACGGGTCTGTGTGACCTACAGTGTGTCCCTGGGACTGTTTCTGCGTGCATGGCGGTGTACATCTGCTTGTGCCTGGACCGCGACTGTGTGCACACTATGACCGTGTGCAGAGAGGCCGCTAGGTCTCCTGTCGTGCGCTTGCCTGGCCCCAGGCGGCTGTGAGGAGGTATACACCCATCTGTGACGTGCAGAGAGGCCTGGTCTCACTGTGTTCCCAGCAAAGAGCCCGGCCTGTTATCTTGTCCACACAGGTCTGTGAGCCTTGGGGTTGGCCGCTGTACACCCGCCCGTGCTCCACAGGGCTTCGGCTGGCTGTATCCTTCCGACTCCCTCCATGCACTGATATGCCCTGTGTGCTCCCTCTCCTGGGCCTGGCGGGGCTCCCAACCGCAAACCTTCCCACCCCGTTCGCCTTAGGGGTGAGTGGGAAGCCAACTTGCCCTGCTCACCTCTGGAGCCTCCTCTCCACCTGCAGCTGTTCTCCCACCCGCCCACTCTTTCACAAATGGCCCCTCAGGCTCCTACTGGGGTTCCAAGGTGGCCTCAAGCTTCTCTCGCTTCCCGCCTTCTTGTAGTTCCTTCCAATCTAGGCTCTAGCGGACCGTGACTTCCGCCCCCGTGTGCAAGGCATCCTGGGTACGCACCAAGCACCACTGTCAGCCGGACCATCCGCAACGCACCGGCGTAGGGTAGAGAGCCCCCTCAAGGCTAGGTCTCAGCAAGTATCCGCAAGGGCAGGCTGGGCCTTTGCAGGGTTTTTGGAGCTGGAGCTGGGCTCCCTGCCTCAGGTGCCCACGGCCCACCTCCATCCATCCTTGCCAAGCAGCCGGAGCGACCCTTCTCCAACATTCTTCTGAACAGGTCCTTCTCCCAGAACTCCCACTTTCTTAATTACACTCTGTGCCAGGGCAGGGCGGAAGGCCCCTCTCCGATTCTCCAGCCTCACGGCCCACTGCTCTCCTCCGCCCGCAGGCTCCCTCTCGGCCAAGGATGGGCAGACTGTTGTTTGGGAGGGCCAGACGGTTCACCTTTTAGGCTTTGCTGCCCATTGGGTCTCTGTCTCAATGACTCAACCCTGCCACCCTAGCACAAAATCAAGACAATATGTAAAGGAATGATCATGGCTGTGTTCCAATAAAACTTTATTTATGGACACAAAGATGGGAATTTCGTATAATTTTCCCATGTCATAAAACACTATTGTCTTGCTTTCCCCCAACCATTTGAAACTGTAAACACCGTTCCCAGCTGGCACTGCTCTAAGCACACTTCCGAAGTCCTCATACCATCCTTGAGACTCACCTGCTCGCAGGTGTCCCCACGAATGCAGACAGTCCCCAAGTCCCATCCACTCCGCCCCCAAAGTATCAGCCACCTCTTCTCCCCCACCTCCTCCTTCAGCTCTCACTCAGTCCTACCTCCCTCAGACCCCTCACCACTGCTCACGCATGCTCTCCCCCAGCGCTCCCTGACTCTGCCGGGAGCCCTTGCCCGCTGGAAGGGCCAGCTCAGAGACACTCTCCTGGCCCCTGACCTGGGCGGGGGAATGTGCTCTCCCTCCCCCAGCCTCCTGCAGCAGCGTGGGCATCCCCCAGACTACGTGCCAGAAGCACTGTTTGGGGTCTGGCTCCCCCAGTGGGTTTGTTCTGGGCATCTCAGAAACCTCGAGGCTGGCCCCTGAGGGGGTTCAGCACAAGCCTCCCCAACATGTGCTGCTTGGGCATGTGGACAATGTTGAGCTGAAAGCAATCAAGACCCAGCAGACTCAAGAAAACTGTTCACTCCTCCCTTAATTACCTAGAAAAAAAAATGTAGGTGGGGGCCTGGCCCAGAAAGAGAGATGACTTTTTATTTGAGTGATCTCTCTGTAAGGCAGCACAAATACCTAAATGCCACACACCTGCTCTTCTCATCCTGGGCCTGGGGAAGCCTCGGTCCCTTAGCTCAGAACGGCAGGTAAGCCCCACCTGCCCAACTCCTTCCGGGGTCTCACAGTCTCATGGGGGCCCCAGTACGTATGTAATTACATTTGTTTTTCTTCTGTTAATCTGGTTGGTGTTCATTTGACCAGCAAACGAAGCTAAAAGAGCAGAATAACACGTTTTCTTCCCCTACACCCCCCGGCCCTGCGCTGGGCATAAATGATCACAACCCTTCATGTCCACAGCTCCCAGCGAAGGAGAGGAGGTGACGTGACGTGTCCAAGGTGACAAGCCTGGGAGCCCTGTTGCGCGTGGGTCACCGGCCAGCAGTGACCACGGAACGCTGTGGATGGCTCGACGATAAACACGCGAGAAAAAACACCACATGCACAGAGACAAACTAGTTTCTGTGGGGAAGTAGGGACAGAAATGGCCACCCCCCCTAGTGGGGAGCGCACCAATCCACCGTCCATACCTGCTTTTATTAGGCTCATCCTGCATAATAATTCAGGTAAAGTACAGCACTCACCAGGGGAAGTAAGGAACTATAGAAAACAAAGAACTCTGCCGGTCTATTGAGTTGGGGGTCAAAGAGCTGTAAGGCTGAGGAACAAAATAACTTCCTCCTAAGACCCTTCTCATTCAACTGAGAGCGTTCTAAACAAAGAAGGTTTCACAGTAATTTACATGTTCTTTCTTAGGCCTGATCACCCCGGGAAATCCGCACTTCCCAGTACCGAGCTGTACTACCCTGTCATTGTTTCAGGCTTAGGTGGAGCAAGGGAACTAGGTAACCAAGAGACAAGGAGATTTTCTCCCAGACGATGAGAACTCAGGCTATGTCAAAGCCGAGGAGCAAGGGTCCATCACCCCCTTTTGCTGCAGCCCCCCAAGTCCTTCTTTTGGGGGGCCTCCCAAAGTGATCGTGCCTGGCTTAGGTCGTTCCCTCCCGTGGGGAATCTTACCCGTCTTTGGCTAACCGACCAAGCTTTTGGGGGTTCAGTCATGAATAAAGCAGCAGAAGCAGCATTCCTGCCAGGAAGATAAGCTTTTATCTCCTTGCCACCTTACGGTTCCAAGGGCGTTCCCTTAGCCTTAGCCTAGGCGGGGGTTTCAGCCTCTGATACCAGTCAGGGCGGTTCCCAACAGAGCCCCAGAACCCGGCTCCGTCCCAGTGGTGTGGGGCTGTCCCTCCTTTGCTCTGTCTGCCAGGGCGCCGGGGGGCCATCCCGCGTTCATCTGTCTTCTAGAGGGTGGGTGCTCTTTCTGCCTCTGGCGACCTCCGCTCCCCCCAGACCGATGGGCCCTGCAGGTCTGGAGCCAGGCCGGAGCCACAGACATGCCCTCTGTCCTTTGAAAATTGTTGATTGATTTGGGTACATGGATAATAGCCATGCTGTGTGCAAATGTGAAAGTTACTGAAGGGTGTCCAAGTAAGACCAGAAGTAAGCACCCGGCCTCCACCTCGCTCGGCTTTTTGTTCTTTGAAAATATGCCTTTTCGTCCTTTCAAGATTGCTCAGTGATTTGGGCGGACAGATAACAGCCCTGTTGTACAAATGCGAAAATTACTGTAGGGTGTCCAAGTAAGACCAGAAAGTAGGAAGACAGACTTCGCCCGGTTTCCCTCCCAGGAAGGATTTCACCCGCGCGACTTGTTCAGATGCAGCCCGTTCAATCCGAAGCCACTTCGTTGTGACCCAAAAACCAATCCCGGGGCTCGGCTCCCAAGCTGAGGGCTTAACTCCCCTTCGTTTTCTTTTTTAAATAAAGTGTAAAACAGACACGCCCACCCATCCTGGACAGGCCCGCCTGTCCGTGACCGCGCCGCCCTGCCCAGGGGGCAGAGTGGGAGATAAGGACTGGCGGGGAGGGCTCTAATGCACAGAGGGAACTGGTTTCAATCTGGGATTTTGTACAAGTCGCTCAACTCTCAGTTTGCTCATCTGTGAAATGGGAATAAGGAGGGTCCTCCCTGCTCTGGGGGTGACATGGACCCGTATACAGGAGGTGGCCTCCCTGGGGCCTGTCATCCAGTAGGTCTCAGCTGGCACCGTGACTGCAGGGCCACTGTCCCCTGAGCCCAGAGGCCAGGCCTGGGTGCACAGAAGACACTCAATGCATTTTGCTGGGGAAAAAATGAATAAATTAATTCTGCCTATGTGCATACTACCAGTTACTAAAAAAAAAAAAAAACGGCAATTGTCCATTTTGATGTGTCTAAAAACGGCCACCGTGGGAAAGCCCCAAGTCCTGCTTCAGTGGGCTACACCCTGCACCCCTCCGCAGGGCGCCCCCACCCACACGCTGGTGCTTGTGGTGGGGGACTTCAGAGGTGGAAAATTTTAGTTTAATAGCTAATAAGCTTAGTAATCAATGCACGTAAAAGCTTTTGTTCCAGGAACTGAAGGTCTGACCCACCCTGGCTCCAGGAGACCACGAGCAGTTCCACCTTTGTTCTCTCAGAAGGCCTGCAAGCAACTCAAGATGACATCTGAGCCCTCGTGCTCCTGGGTGAGGTGACCACCGCCCAGGAGGAGAATGCTGATGTCGTTTCTTAATTCAAAGAACCTTTCCCCGAACTTCAAAGCCCCTCCCCACACCTGGCTTATTCCCTGCTATAAAAACCTTGGCCTGGAAATAAAAGACAAGATGGTCTGTTAGGGTGTGAACCCACCATCTTCTC